AAGTTTGGTTGAGTCACAAGAGGGTAAATAAGGATGTTTCGGAGACAAAGAGGCTCTTAAAGGCGCAGCGCCTCCTGGTGCCCCCCCTTGGTGGGGGGGCTCACATGCATGCAGCAGCCTTTCTGGGGCAGGCCACACGTGGCGTCACACGGAGGTCACGCCACGCACACGTGTCGCAGGGGCCACGACTGGCGATGCCACCGCCACAGGACAGCGAGGGGAGCCAGCAGGCCACCATCACACGTGGTGTCACACAGGTCACGCCGTAGGCACGTGTGTCACATACGGCAGGCAATGCCGTCGCCACGGGACGGCGAAGGGAGCCAGCCGGACACCAGCACACAGGGGCCACGGCCGGTGATGCCACCCCTGAGGACGGCGAGGGGAGCACCACCTCTGGGCCATGCCTGCCCCATGCCGAGTGTCACGGACATGGCCGTGCCGTCCAGCCCGTGCTGGCAGCGTGCAGCCTACGTTAGCGCAGGTGCGGTACCACAACCGCTTCACCCGCGGTGGGGGCAGGACCACATCCTGGCGTGACTGAGTCACGCTTCTGGAAAAAACAACCCCAAGCGCTGCACGCGTGTGTTTTTATTTAACCAGGCCCTTGGCGAAGCTTTGACGCCGCCTGTTGCCACCCGCTTCGGATTCATTTGAACGTGCTTCATTTGGCAACAGCCTCGCGCCATTTTAAAGGCCCTGACAAAGATGCAAAAGCGCTCTGGGAAGGCCCCAAGAGCTGACCTCGTTAGGTGGCACCACTCGGAGGTACCATCCTCCCGCTGCACCACGACAGCATGATTTGGTTATATATAGTGTGTCCTTGCAATTGTGGCTCTCAGGCCACTTTGCCCCATGGGATGTGCCATCGTGCTGCAAAGCATCCTATGGGTTGCGATGCAGCACAATCGCACGGTGACTGACCGCTGCGTTCAAAGCCCCTTAGTGCTAGTAGGCGACAGGAGTGTCCTGTAAACTGGCTTTGTGGGCAGAAAAGCCAGTCCGACAAAAATCCAGGCTGTTCTTGCAAGGCAAATCTCAAAAGCTCACAGAAGACTTCAGAAACTGATCTAGAAACGGAAGGCAGGGCCATCAACCCTTTGGCAATAAACAGCTGTTGAGCACCAAGCCGGTTTTGCTTTGTCTAGCAACCTCCCTTTCCTCTTCCAAATCTCTCCCTAAAGGCATCTTGGTTTTTGTCCAGGGTCATGTCTGCTTCAAGCACCGATCCTGCCCAGACTTCCTCATCGGCAAACATCTCCCAACTCTTTGGACTGGGTCCTTGCGTTGTCACTTTTTGAAATCCAGTTCCCCTTGTTGTGCAAGTCCATTACAATCAAAAGGATTTAAACCAAGGATGAATTTGGTCTTCTGTAATCCCTTTGTAAACATGCATATCAGCATGCAGCTACTACATAAGTGATTACTTATAATAATGATACAGAGCTAAAAATATCCCTGGCAGTACTGCTGAGGCAGGTGACCACGAGTCTACTTCTATACTCTGCCACTGAAATGCTTGGTGATGCTGGTAACGTCACCGAACCTATTTGTGCTTTAGTTTCCTCAGATAAAATGAACCTAATTGATACATAGCCACCACCCAGGAAGTCTACAGTCTGCCCTGGTTTACAGTGGGTAGATGCAATGTCCTCCCTCCAAAATTATCCACAAAACTGCCCAACAACTTTCACAGGAATATGATCAGACCCCAATCTTGTGCAAAGAAGTGTTGGATTTTGCAGCACCTTTCTTGGCTTTGCACATGCACTCTAGAATCTAACTTCCCGGTCCCTGTATTGACAGGTGGGAAAGCCTGGTTTTCAGTCACGTTAACAACACGATTGAAAGCCCTCTTAACATCTGTCAAGACACAGGCTAGCGTGTTTGAAGCCAGGTTAGTTGGCCTTACAGTTGCCTAGGGAGAGCCTACTGAGCTAATAAGATTGAAAAACAATCATTTTGCCTGTCAAGGGAGGACCCCAGGGAGTAAAAGAGATGCCCTATGCGCAAAGCAGTCGATCCATTGGTTTAGAGAAGGCAGCTACATCAATGGATATCTTTGCTAACGCTGAAAAGGCTAAATCTTTTCGTCCCCCTCACCCCCCGCCCCATTACAATCCCACTGACATCACTGGGGGGTTACTGATATAATTAAAGGCATAATTTAGCCCTAAGAGTCAGCTTGGTGGCTGCTGAACAGTAACATGCAATAAGAGCAGAATACATCCCGTTAAGACACCCAGCATGTTGTTTATACTTGTAAGACATGCGACTAAAATGTTGGTATCTCTGGTTACAAAATGCATCATTTTTGTATTAAAAAGACACACGTGCAACACTGGATGTGCCTAATTTTCTAATAATGACCCCACGGCTTTTATTTCAGCAGAGCGGACGTGATTACCAGTGAAAACAACAGAATTTTTTTCACAGAACTTCCCAGCCATCCTTAACGGCACAGAACTATAATGAGCCAAGGGCCAGATTTCACCACTGTAACTCAAATAGTTTGACCAGAGCCAATGGGGAGGTGAGTTAAGAGTTGCAGAGATCAGACTTCACTTTGTTTCCCAGGGTATCCAGTAGGTTGGAATTGCTAATGGAGTTACAGAGAGTACTGGTTGCTATGAATCATTAACCAGGTCTCACTAACCCCAATACCAACTTAATTTATTCAGAGTTAAATAAATGCCCATGCAAAAAAAAAAAAAAAAGGCTCTAGGCACCCTAACAATTAATTAGACTTACAGGCATAAACGATGATCACCCTTCAGCAAAAACAAAAAAAAAAATCATATACAAATAATGAGTTATCTCAGCCCATCAATAAATCGGAGTAATAAAACACCTCCTTTCTCACCCACTCCTTTAGGAAATACCCTTAACCTTACACTCCAAACCTTGTCTAATAAATTACTTTCGCAAGATGCCTGGAAGGTTAAAATTATTTAGGAACGAGACATCTATTTTGTCCAGTTAAAACTCAGGGCTGCAGTGCAAGATCCATTGATGAGTGAGGGACAAGAAACTTTAATTTTATTTTTTTAAAGAGGATGATATACTCTGCTTCCTCAGGTCATGTGCTGAAAAACTGGTGCGATGTAATTTAAATAACTTAGAAGCTTAGGACCTAGCTAAGCCTCTGGGCATGGAATTCCCAGTGACCTCAAAAAGCAGCTCAGCACGAGAACTGCTTACAGGAGCAGGCAGTCTGGGCTGATTTTAACGATGATGCTAAATTCTGAAATGAAGCAGAGAAGATCCTTGTCTCGCAGCAGTTCCTTGCAAAGTTCCTTGTTTTATGCAAGTGGCATAAAAATCTTGCAGCTGCAGAACTGGGCTAAACAGCAGGCTGTGATTTATTTAGCAAATGGCAACGCGCACCGCCGAAAAATATAAAGAGAAGAAAATCGCATTCACCAGCCGAGAAGCTATTGAAGGTTTAGAGCCAAGGAGACAGATGGTTCAAAGGGACCAAATTTCCCCAGCTTCCCTTCCATGTAAATAAATCACGGCTGCATGATATTGCATAGTTAAGCCCTCCAGTAAATCCCTGGTCCTCATTTTGCAACTCCTTCCTTAGTTCTGTCAGCCCACTGATATCAGTCAGACTCCTGTCCAGTAAAGGTGTGTAGAGACAGTACCATTATCCCAGAGCGTGGCAGGTGCTTTATTTCAACAGGTAAGAGGAACCCTGCCAGACTTTTTCTTTTTTCCAAATCCACTGGTATCATCTGAGACACAAAAGATTTTAATCCAGCCAGGAGCTATAGGAGAGACTGACAGACCATAAACATACCCAAAAAGAGACAGCAAAAACCAAATGAAATTTTCCTACAAAAGACACGAGTTTGTACTGAGGGTATAAAACTCAAAAGAAATCAAAGTCAACCTCAGCACAAAAGAAAAACTAAACGGCTCTGTAAAAATCAACAAACAGGGGAGCCCCACAGATTTCCCAATCCTTGGTGTATAAAAAGACTTGGCAACTTTACATGAAAATATGGCTTCTTTTTTTATTATTATTAACAGTATCAAAATATTTTCCAAGGGGTATCCAGAAAACTCACAGTTAGCGGTCAGTGGGCAAGGCAAACAGAGAAGAATTAACCCTTGCCTGTGTGTGCACACAGCTGCAGTTTCTTCTTTCTCCTCCATTTGGTTGAAGATCTATCCCCCGAATCATTTCCATAGCACTGAACAGCCTCAGTGGCCAATGGTCAAATCACTGGAAGTACTGAATTGAATAAGGGACCAGGACAAAAGGAAAAACACGTTACATTTCAGACCTGTGTCCGAGAGTGGGTGAAGAAAGAAAGCGGATTCTCCTCCTGGGGAGATGAGCATTGTTTCTTTGTTTTAGAGGGAGGAGAATGCACTAAGGAGCTATGGGCTGGCATTCCTGATCTCTGAGGACGATCGGGAAAGGGGTTACTGCCCCTGTAAAGGGGACCCCCCCCCAAAAAACAAAACCAAACGGCCTCATGGAAGCCTTTTCATCTCATCCCAGCTACAGGCACCTGCTGCTGTTTGCGGATCTTGTTGAACAGTTCCATATACTGCACCATCGAGTCAGCTGGGCTGTAGATGCTGTCGTGCTTGTTGCCAAACACGGATGGGATTCCAGGAGTGTGATTCCCCATGAAGCTTTGCATGAACTCCATTAACAGGTTCCAGCAGTCATTGGCTACCACACACGGGCAGTATTCCACCTGGCAACACAAACAGCAGCGCTAAGAGATGGAGCAGTGACAGTCATGATAATGTCCCCTCCCTTTTAAATATATATCTGGTTGGCTAACAGCTCATCCAGAGCTGCTCAGCGCTTCGAAGGCAGAAGCGACATGGTTTTCCTTTCGGGGAAGACAAGAAAGAAACATTCCTTAAATCACAAGTAAAACAATGGGCCATCCTGGAGAATGCCCAAGGAAACTCTCTTCAATTGTACTTACAAAAGCCAAGCTGGGGGAGGGAGAGAGAAAGAAAAGGTTATCAGAGAGCTGCAAAAGCAGTCTCTATTAAATGGCCCCAAGCCTTGAGGGGCTACATGGCACAGTGGGTGTTAATGCACAAGCCTTTCAGCTCTGCATACCTTGGGTCGAATATCAGGATGCATCGGAAGGGCTTGGGGCTGGAATAACAAGGACGCTGGATGTCAAGAGGGAGGTGCTTTGCCTGATCCCCGGAATAAGGGCAAGGGTGCTACCTGGCAAAGCCCATTGGCAAGGGCTTCGTCTCACTAGGGCTAGGAACAGACATTGCATTTGCCCCCTGACAAGTTGTGCCTGTGCTTGTCCCGGAACAGAAATATCCTGGGATTGGTGTATTGACACATCACCCTTCTAATCAGGGTTTCGTGAGTGGCTGAATGTACCACCATTTTTTTGCCGTTGATTCAATGATGCAATCCTGGCGTAACCATTCAGGCACACTGTGGGACTACTTGACCCACGAACCTTTTAAGGGCCGTGTCCCAGGACAAAGGACATGAACCTCTGAATAATTAAACTTTGTCTTGGGATAACATGGTTTAAAATGCAATGCTTGCTCGTAGCCTAGGGCATTAGCCTCATTTTTCTCCAAAAAACATAGCTGTTCCCACAAACCTGCAAAGACAACTGCCTGTGAATGGGGATCCGATTATGACATCCTCTCCTCACCTCTCCATGGGAGCCTGGCTCCTGCTGTGTACTTTGGACGAGCTAGTCAAGTAAAGCAGGGCTGTCTGCTCAGCTGGGGCCCCATACTCAACTTAGGTACTAGACAAGCTTTCGCGCACAGGCCAGCAAAGGCTGGAGATTACTGCTCGTAGGCACCTAACCCTCACCGGTTTCCAAGGGAGCAGTTACCTAACTGTGTTTGCAGATCTGGGCCTAAATATCGGCTTCCTCTTTTTCTGTGGCATCAAAACCAAGCAATTCATTTTCAAAGGATTTTCCTGCTTCACTCGGTCCTGCTAGGGTGGTTTTTACTCATGCCTCCAATCTCCACATGAGGCCAGCCTTTACAACCCATAAATCCAATTTCCCCACCAAACACCTTGCATTCTCTTCCATGCTGCTTCATACACCCTGGCAGATCTGGAGCTAAAAATCTGTACGCCCATGGCATTGTGCTTCTACAAATTCACCTCCATCATGATGCCTAACTGGTGGGCTATGGCTGATGCTTATGACCTGAATCATTAGTCTTGCTGTCAGACAGGGAAATCACAATGCGAGGTCGAGGGACCTTTGCTACACTGTGTACTTACAAAACTTATAACAGTGGCACCCCTGATCTCTGGTTGGAGTGTCTCATGAATAGCGTCATCTCCCCACCTGAAATGCCAGGGGAACACTTGTGTTTGCAACAAGGAAACATTCCCCCTGCCACGTGGTAAATACAAACACAGGGGCGGTGTGACACTGCCCGGGCCCTGCTTGTAATTTGCCCCAAACAGGAAACATAAACACATCTGAAAAATAAATTAGACTTTTGTCTCTTTTTTTTGTAATAACCTGGAGAAGAGTTATTAGCATCTGGCTCAAATTCAGGCTTTTGAGCTTGATGGCATTCCTTTAAAATCAGATTTGTTGGTATTTTTATGATAATTGCTGCTATAGCAGCTCAAAACACAGAGAAGTTGCATAAGCACTGTCTTTTTTAGAAGAGGTTTGAATACAGCAGTGATATTTGTTAATATAGGCTGGAGAGATGATGCCCAGAGAGGACGGAGTTTCCGCTTATCTTTGATTAATCCATTTCCCCCGATCTTTGATTAATCCATTTCCCCCCTTGTTCAACTGTCTCCATGCAATGGGCAAGCAGAGCCCCACTGTGTGCAGTCAGCAGCCTTTTTGCAAATTGGGCCTAGCAACTCAGAGAAACACACAAGACGCCCGTTCCAAACACGTGGATCTCCAGGCTCGCTCACGTACGCTGCTAGCCAGCAGCACAGGTACAACACCATGTATCCCAACCCCCATTCTTTTTGCCTTAATCATATCCTTCCTCCAAAAGGCCCTACTGCTAACACTTAGGCACCCAAATTTCAAGCTTATGTGCAGGCCCAGTAAATCAGTGGGCTTACTCCCATGTTTTACAGCTACACAAAGGCAAAATTAGGACCCATACTTCCAGGGCTTCAGCTATAAGTAACCTTCCCATACTGAAACTCTACAAAGATGAAAGTCTATGTAGGCATTCAGCAAACCATTTGTCCACCTTCTTAACTTTAATGAGAGGTTTATTTGCATTGAAGCCAAGGAGACTTAAAATTGGTGGTTGAATGGTTTCCCGAATCAGTGCCCCTTCCTGTATGCAGGCTGAGCCAGTCAATTCCTCGCCTGTCCTACATTTCAAATGCTGCGAAGAACAGCCTTACCTCCACAGATATGCCACGGGCACTGGGCCCCATGGTTACAGTGCCCACCTTCACCAAGAAGTCACAGTACTGGTACCGCGTTCCCCGGCTCTCTATCTTGTTTGCCTTGGCATTTTGGAAGAAGCCTTTCAGTTTCACCATAAGGATGTCAAAGTTGGCATCTGCTATGAGGCAGGGGCCATTCTCAAAGAGAGCAAAACAGCTGAGGGGATATTCGGAGTTATGCATCACATACATCAGCTTGCCAGCCTGCCCTGAAAGAAGAGCAACAGGGTTTTAGCTGTAAAACAACACTCCTCTCCTGCAGGTTGTCAAGAAGCATCTCTTAGCTTTTCCTTTGTCCTCATCTACCCTCTGTTATTTCTACTGCAAAACTCATGACATTCTTTATTAATGCTTATGTTCTGCACACTGGATGTGTAGATTTTTTTTGATTTAGCACAGAACAAAGCATTCTTCCTATTTATAGTAACGCTGCTACAATCCCAGAGTATAGTCTGATCCACCATGCTATTCTGGGGTATTTCTGGGAGGTGCTTAAACCAAGAGATAGCCTTTTAAATAGATGACTGCAAGCAGGACTTCCCTCCACTTATAAGACAAAAAAAGACCTGCTACTTTTCTTCTACATTCATGGCTTTGAAGTGATCAGCAAAACCCAGCAGCAGGACAAGGTTTCCAGAAGTACTTTGAGCTGCAGAGCCCAGTATTAACAGCGATCTCTGAGTAGGCAACAGCAAAGCCAAGCAAATTCAGACCCTAGGTAGCAAGATAGCTATACAGGCTCAGCAGTGACCTCTGGAGATAATTATAGGAGAGCTGTAGACTCTCTATAGTCAAGGTTGAGACTGGCTGTTTGAGTCTTTTTTTTTTCTCCAAGTGCTCTAAACTCCACATGCTTATCCAGATGGTCCTGAAAATGTCTGTGTGGAGAAGATCCAGGGTAGGTTTAGTGGTACAGATTTGTGGTTGACTGAGAAAAAAAGGGCAACTTTCAATGCTGACACTCACCAGCATGTTCAAAGGGGCTTCTGAACATCAGAAAAGGTGCTCAGACTAGAAACCCCTGTTCTAAAGAGTGGCCTGAGATCAACAGTGATGAATGCAGTGCCAGGATGCTGTCATCAGCCAGAAGAGAAACTTCTGCATGTTTCTCAAGAGAAATCAGCACACACACACACACACACACACACACACACACACACACACACACACACACACACACACACACACACACACGCACAAATATCACATTTCAAGCTTTCTAGAATAACGCATCCAATTGACACCAAGAAGAGGTTTCTCTCCTCAAACCCCTTTAGTTTTTTTGGACAGGGGAAAAAGACCAGCTTCAAAGGCAATGTCTGATACTGGAAGCATTTTACTCATGTGGTGCTTTTTTAAAAAAGTCATCACAAACCGCAATGGTTGACCCCTGCACCATAAACTCCTCTAGGAAAAAAACGAGCAGTGCACACACTGCAACAAACCTCTAGAAAATGATGTTCTAGCCCAAAAGACGTTTATTTGCAAATCTTTTTCACTCCAGTTAAAATGGAAATTCTGTAACCTTAGCTGAGACGGCACTGCCAGCCCAGGATGTTATTGCTGGGGGGGCACCAGGCCTGTGGGCAGTGTTAGTGGTGCAGGCTGGAGTCCAGGGATACCTCAGATATAGCCTCTCTGAGTCAGCAGTGCTCAATCTTTTGGCCACATGGGCCAGGTGAGTCATGTGGAGTGGATCTGTGGGCCAAATTGGGCCCTGGGCGCCTGGTCTGGGCTCTGTGCCACCTCTCCTTGGCCCTATGCACCTGAATTGGCTGCCATACTGCCTCCCCTGCCCTACACACCTGATCTAGCACGCAGGGCCACACTATCCAGCCCACAGGGCTCCTCAAGGGTCTGGAAATTTGGCAGCAGGGTTGCTCCCCCACCACCAAATTTTTGGACCCGTGGGCAAGGTTCTTTGGGTAGATGTGATATATTTTATTAGGCCAACGGAGTAGTTGGAAAAAAGTTCTTGGCAAGCTTTCGGCCGCAATCACCCTTTGTTAAGCATAGGGAGTCTCTGCCTGACGAAGGGAGACTGTGCCCGAAAGCTTGCCAAGAACTTTTTTCCAACTACTCAGTTGGTCTAATAAAAGATATCACATCTACTCAAAGAACCTTGCCTACCTAGGTCCTTGGACCAACACGGCTACAACCAAAAACCCAGAAACCTGGACCTGTGGGGAACTTTGTGGGCTGAATGACATGGCTCCACAGGCCAGAACTGGCCTACAGACCAGGGGGTCAAACACCCCTGCTCTAAGTTGATTTGAATGAAGTTGCTCTAAAACCACAAATCTAGTAAGACTGTCTTAAAAACTGGTATTCTACAACAAGCCCTGGGACAGACAGTGGAAGGGAGAAAGAGAACAGTGATGAATGGATCAATTCACACCTCGGCCCAGGTTGTATTCAACTCCAGTTATTTAAGAACTTGTTTTGATGAATGAGGTCACTTCACACCTCCGTGATTCTCAGCACAAGAAGGAAAAGTCTATGATCTCAATGCAGCTGTAAGCCATCCCTGTGGCAGCAAATACAGCTGTCCCTGGCCCAAGGGAGAGCAAGGGTGATGCATGCAGATAAACGGGAGAGTATAATGTGGCACATTTACACATTCCCTGCATCTGCTTATTGTAGAGCAGCTGTGCCTGAAGCATAATTGCAGTATACCCCAGGAGGTCTTGCCAGCCAGAAGAGACAGGCTGTGAGGCACGGCAGACGTGTCCTTAGCTCTGCATTTCCTGGTTTTCCCAGGTTTAAGTACAGATGCATTCTGGAAGGTGTGAGGCACCCTAGCTCTGCAATAACAACGCTGTAGAGAAGTGAACAATACCATGCATTTACGATCACCTGTCTTCTAAGGCTCCTAAAGTGTTTCCAACCTGGAATTAAATCCTCCAACCCCATATGAGGTGGGTCAGGATTGCTATTTCATTTTAGAAGGGGGGGAAAAAAAACCACAGAGGCACAAAGATTAACCATACCTCACCCAGAATCACACCCAGGTCAGAGAACAGACCTCAGGTCTCTCTCCTACCTGGAGGGCAAAAGTTTTACCAGGAGTCAACAGCCACAAAAGTGAATGCAGAGCTCCATGCCATCAGCCCTATCAGAATGGCCCACATTGTGGGGACATAGCTGCTAAAGCTGGGGCAGGCAAAGTCCGGTGGATCAAGCCTGCAGCAGACTTAATTTCCCAGCAGCCCCTGCATGCATCACTGCAGCCATGGAGACCCCAGCAGGGCAGGACTGTGACAGCATGGGGCCAGGGTTTCCACGGAGACTGGCCCCAGCAGCGCTGGCAGAGAGCGGGGCTGGGTAGGGAGCTGCTCCGGGGCCGGGATCTTGAGCCAGCGACAGCGTGGTCCAGGGCTGGGACAAAACTATGACCTGCTGCCCTTATGCCCTGGGCAGGGGCGTGCAGGCAGCGGATCGCGGCTCTGCCCTGGCTCTGGACCACGCTGTCGCTGGCTCAAGATCCCGGCCCCGGAGCAGCTCCCTACCCAGCCCCGCTCTCTGCCAGCGCTGCTGGGGCCAGTCTCTATGGAAACCCTGGCCCCACGCTGTCAGGATGCCACTGCTGCTGGGTAATGGAGTCCAGCCACCAGCTGGGTCCACCATTTTGCTCACCCCTATGCTAATGGGACCACAGCAGCCAGGAGGCAGCATGGGCCTGTCCATATAAGCCTTTGTTAGCTGTTAAATAGCAGCCTTCTGTCTGCCCAAGAGATGAATTCACTCTGCCGGCAAAAGAAAAAGATTTTGATTCCACATAGCAGCTTTGAGTGGGGGCACGCTTACGGAAGGTAGAACTGAATCCCGCTAGCAAGATTATACAGCATAGACTGGGCTTGTCAGACCAGCTCTTCCTTCCTACCGCTAGTTCAATCCAGTTCAGTAGCACCATGCTGGGGAGACGACTGGAGAGAAGAAAGGTATAAACAGGAGAAAGAAGAGGCCTCAGAGCTGGCTTTAGCACTCCCAGCTAGAACAATAAGAGGACAATAATTTAACTCATTACGAGAGCAGAGTTCAACCCAACCAGAGCTACCAGCTACTGCAGCCAATATAAGGTTCTCTGCAAAGCATTTCACTCAGATAGTGAAGCGACAGGCTGACCTTGGTTGCCCATGGTGGAGGCAGCTGTGTGGTAGGTCTCACAGTCGACACAAAACGTTCCTTGTTTCTCTGCTCCGAGCAGCTCCAGTTTCCTCGTTAGGATTTCAACCGTCTGTTGGACACTCTTCCCCTCTGCCACTGGCATCTGAGATACACTGTCGAAGAGGAGTTACAGAAAAGAGTCAATAACCATAGATACCAAGACACCTTAACCAAGGCAGAATGCAATACAGCCAGACAACAGCGTTTTGCATCTAGAACAGAGATTAAAAGCCGACACGTGATGACCATTTGCTTTGTAAAGCATTTGGACGGTACTGTCAGCATCACTTCCATCTATCTTATCTGCTCACACTAGTGATTCTCAGCCAGGGTGCCAGGGTACCCTGGGGTACCCTGAGATCTTTCCACATAATGTTAGCACAGTTGGTTATACAAACCCAAAGATTTCAAACAGGCTTCCATAGCTGAGGGCTTTCTGAGTGCTTTACATTGGAAAAACTGCTCTATTATTTTCCCATGTTCAAGAAATGAAAACTAAGAGGCGGCACTTTCTAATGGGCACCTCTAATTCATCCAGGGATGCCTTGAGTCTAAAAAGAATGAGAACTGCTGCTCTCGGCTTTTCAGGGCAAGGACGATGCTACTCAGTGCCTCGTTCACGTTTGGGCCTGAAGCATTACAGTAATAAACACGACTAGCAAAAGTAACTAACACATCTAAAGGCTGTAAAAGGACTGCTGTGATCATGTAATCTGGCTTTTTATGTAACACAGGTCACAGAACCTTACCCGGTAACTTCTACCTTGCTCAACGACAGCAGCAGTTCCCAAACTAGGGGCTGTGAGGCCTTGGCATGGGGTCTGCCGGTGGTCCACACACACTGCTAGGTCCCACATACTTTTCTCATGCTTCCAGTGAAACGTCTGATGATAAACCTGCACTGCTAGCTTGTGAGAGAAATGGAGGATGGACTGCTCCGTGAGTACAAAGCCCCAAGCTAGATAGCGGGTCTTTTACAAAGATGTCCTGTCTCAGGTTAGAGACAGGTCCACAGAAGAAACCCTCGCTTCCAAAAGCGGGCAGGCACACCCAAAAGCCCCACGTCTGGCATTTTCAGTCCACTCCATGTCAACCCTGTTCTCCACAACCCAGAAAGCCCTACAGACAATGGCTATTTGCCCTGCACAAAGTGCCACAGCGACAGCCCGATGCCATTCCTGCCGCCCCTATAAACATAGGATGAGCATCGCAAGGAAGAAGCCTCGGCCAGGCAGGACTCGGCCAGGCTTTGCACCCGGCATCTGCCCTGTTCCGGTGACAACAGCAGACACCCAGAGCACGACTTTGTCCCCAAGGCCCTTTTGCTTTTTTGCCGAGAAGGGGACCCTGCGTCTCTGTTCTGATACAGCGGCACCTCCGTGCCCCTGACGCCTGGTGCCATCACGGCCCTGTATTTGCAGCTGCGACGCTGACCTGGCTTGATCCAGCCTGATCTCTTGTCAGTCCCTCCCAACCCTGCCTACCTCCCAGCCCCTTGCTCACCAGGGGCCTCATCCCACTCCTCACCGCCTGCTCCCGGTGGTGATACAGCAGGCGGGTGCCGAGTGGGGCCTGGATCTTCAGGCCCCAGTGCATTGAGGGGCAGCTCAACCTGCACCCCCCCACCATGGGGGGACCTCACCTGCCTTCGCCCCTTTGCTCCCTGCAAGCCCCCCCCCCCCAGCCCGCACACACCCAGGGCCATGCCAGGTGACCCCCATGCTGGGCCCAGCGCTCCCGGCCAAAAGCCGAGTAGGAAATGATGTCAGGCGGCCAGAAGTGGGTGGGGAGGCCGAGCTACGGTGCTGGGAGGGGATGGAGGGGGGGGCAGGAGACGGGGGGCAACCCGCTGCTGATGCGGGCAAGCGCGGGTTCCTCCGCCGCTGATCCGGGAGCACGTGGGCAGCGGACAGACAAGCAGCTGCCCTTCACACGCGGTTCAGTAGCTCACACCCGTCCCAGCTCTGGCCTACACACATCAGCCCCGTCTGCCCCTCGTAAAAAACAAAAAAAAAGAATGAAAAAAGAAAAGAAAGTAAAAATTGGGCGGCGGCGCCTTTAAGAGCGAACGTTCGGACACGCCTGTCGGAACGTTGAGAGTCGCAACGTTCCATCCGCGCCTGCGCGCCGCGCTGCTCCCCCCGCCCACGTGTGCGCGGATCGCCATGCCGAAGGCCAAGCGGGCCAAGGGGAGCGCGGGGCCGGGGGAGGCGGTGCGGAGCCTGCCCCTGGCCGAGCAGATCCTGCAGGGCCAGGCGGTGCGGCCCAGCCGGAGGACGAAGAGGCGCGGCGCGGCCGCGGAGGCGGAGGACGAGTATGTGGACGAGAAGCTGTCGCGGAAGATCCTGGAGCAGGCGCGGATCCAGCAGGAGGAGCTGGAGGCCGAGCACTGCCCGGGCCGGGGAGCCGAGCCGCCGAGGAAGACCACGGTGTTGGGTGAGCGGGGCGGGGGAGTAGCTGAGAAGAGAGGTCATCCCGATCTCCTTCGATCCCCCCCACCCTGACCGCCGAGGGCAGGTCGTGGCGCTGGCAGGGGGCACGGTTCTGGCTTCCAGGGGAGAGGAGGGCAAACCCTACACCACCCCGCGCTGTCCCAGACGTGCCTTCTCGTCCCTTTTGATCCATGCTCTGTCCCTATAGTGTCTGATCACCTTTCAGAGACGTTTAGGGCTGGAAGGGATCTCGTGGGATCATCGGGTTCAGCCCACTCTGCTCTGGCAGGAAAGACATTGTATTTAGTCTTATTTTCACCCTTCCCACAAACGCAGGTCTCAGCCCCCTGTGGGTCTTGTCTTCTGAGCAGCACACTGCAGAGGTAGAGAAGTCCTGCAAGAAATCTGTAGCTGAGTCAGGACTGAATCCCTGCTTCTTGATGTCCAGTCCCTGGCTTTATTCACTGGGTCCTTGAACGTGAAATTCTCCCTGCCCTAAATCATCATAGGTTGTTCCTGTGTATTGATAAACAGCAGCTGACCTAGGGCATGGATGGGATGAATTCCCACTGGGATTGATTGATCAAGCCTGCTCCTTAAAGACAAAAGGGGCGAGCTGTGGTGTTATATTCCATTTTAATAACATAAACAGGGAGTAGGGAGGGTCAGACATGGACCAGACACCCCTCAGTACTTCTGCTACGATTGAGATCGTTCCCTACGTCAGACTCCCTTCTAGCCAAGCTCTGTAGCAGCCTGCATACGTGTTACTGCTTAGCTAGCAAGTCAGCCTGTTTTTGTCACTGTAGATGGTATTGCTGTGCGGTCAAACCTAGCAGATCGAGCTGACTGGATGTCTTTCTGTCATACTAGTGATGTTTTGGACTAGGGCCATTGCTAGGCCAGGATGCTGTAGCTGTGGGACAAACACGTTCACTGCAAATACTGACATTCTCCAGCCTCTCAACAAAGAGCACTGGAAAGAAATTATTTAGATTCTACCGTGGGAACTTGCTTGATGTATATGTGGCCGTTAAAAAGCATAGGATCATAGAACATTAAAGTTGGAAGGGACCTCAGGAGGTCATCTAATCCTGCCCCCTGCTCAGAGCAGCACCTGTCAACCTAAAGTAATCCTCGGACATTGGAAATCTGAAAACCTTTTATTTGCTGTTACCTGGAACATCTAAGCTAACTGAAAGACCAAAGAGAAATATTATATCTTATATATTAAAGTTGATGGGACTGCTCTCATGTGTGATGTCAAAGGTGTGTGTGAATGCATGGACCTGTAAGCTCAGCCCCTGAGGCAGCTTTCCCTGTGTCTGTGGGCATCCATCCTCAAACAAGGTTTGGGGGGTAAAAAAGTGTTTAAAAATAGGGCAGTGTTATTGCAAAGCCACAAGAAAAGCAGGGGGAACGCGGGCGCAGAGGTAGGATTGGGAGCTGCTTATAACTCTCTAATCATTAGAACTTCAGATTGGCAGCGTCTCTCTCTCAATGATGATGTTGCAGTTCAGATGTGCTCTGTTTAATCAAATGTGGGTGGCAGTCCTCACTGTGTCTTCAGCCAAGGCCTGGCAGTCTCTGGTTCCCATCCCCTTGGGCTGTTAGACTTCTTCGCATTGACCTCAAACTACTCATCACTATAGAAGAGGTGATGAGAGACTATGGTATGGAGAGCTAACTGGTACAGCACAGAGGTGCTTAGTTTTCCAGTTTGTCCAAGCCTAACCGTGCCTTGTTTGGTTCAGGATCTGCATCTCGTGATGGGGATTCCGATGCAGAGGACGATGACGAGTGGCCCACGCTGGAGAAAGCCACATCCATGGAGAAGGAGGAGTATTGTGAAGAGGTGACGGTGAACCCTGAGGATGAGAGAGCCATCGAGATGTTCATGAACATGAATCCACCGTTAAGGTAGAAGATGAGCCTCTGAGCTGCAGTGTGGCACTTCTGAGCAGCGGGCAGTATCTTCTGCCACCGTGCGGCACTGGAATAGGGTTAACATTTCATGGAAGCGCATGGATGGGGGTGGCTGCCTAAAGTGCTGTTCCCCACCTGTCGTTGGGGAAACTGAGGCATGGAGAATTGACTTGTTCAAACTCGTAAAGGAAGTCTGAGGGAGGGCTAGGAACAGAGCCCAGGAGTCCTGATGGCCCCTTTCTGGGTGCCAAGCAGCAGATAGTACTCCATTTTCGAGAACTGATGCATGTGTGGCACTAACTCCCTGTTCCTAAATACTGTGTGCAGTACCTGAGATCAGGGCCCAGTTGTTATTGGGCAGTAGGCAATCCCAGCCCCAAGATCTGGCAGTCTGAAAAGTTAAGACATGTAAAGCATAGAGGGGGAAACAAGTACAGATTCAGGAACTGACTTGCGCATGGTCCACAGTAGCCCTGTAGCAGATCTTAGACTAGAACTGGGGTCTCCTGAAACCTAGTCTGGGGCTCAGTGCACTAGAGCAGGGGTGGTCAGCTTGTTGTGACATGTGTAGCCTCTGTTTGTGGCCGGCAGCAGATTGGGGAGGGAGCAGAAAGCAGAGCAGCAGGTTGGACAGGAGAGGAGAATTGAAGTGGCACCTGGAAAGGTGCAGGGTTTAAGCTGTGCCATGCATGCCAAAATGGTTGTCCCCCACTGCACTAGCCTATTCTGCCTTGACAAAGAGCTGGCTTCTTGCATCCATTTCCAGAGCTAATTCCAACTTGTTTTCTTTCTCTGTGTTTGCCAGGAGAACCCTAGCTGATATCATCATGGAGAAGATTACGGAGAAGCAGACAGAGGTGGAGACGGTTATGTCAGAAATATCAGGCCTCCCCATGCCCCAGCTTGACCCCCGGGTGCTGGAGGTTTACAAGGGTGTCAGAGAAGTAAGAGTTGTTATATAGCATAGACCAGTATAACTAATATAAACCAGACCCAACGGCCGTTGTGGCTGATATTCTCTGTCGTGGTGGCTTGTGATGAAAAAGTCTCTTTACTTGCTACAGACATGGCCATTTACTTGCTACAGCCTCTTCTGGGACGGCTGTTACAGTGCTGTGTAGCACTTCAGAGTAATTCAGAAGACCGTGAATTCTGCAGATGCTCCCCTTCCATCATAACTGCTCTAGGCAAATATATTGATTTAGGGCTTTGTGTTGAGAGGCTTTTTACTGCTGAGCTGGCGGTAAGTTAACAGATTCTGGAGCTAATGCTAAAATTCTTTCATGACGAGGAGCCTGGAAAAGTTTGTAAGTGGAGGAGAGTTTCAGTACAATTAGTGTAGACCAGCATTGATGCCATGTCTTCACGCTTTTCTGAGTGTTCTCTTGTGCTCTTTCTTCCCAAATAGAACCACAGCTGTTCACCTAGCACTTCTCACTGAAGGAGTGGGAAGTACTTTTCAAATATTACATCCTCCAGACTACTGTGTCTGGAGTTGGCAAGGTGCCCTAGCCCTTTAACAACCATTCACTCTTAGTTGCTCGGTCTTTCTCAGGGTGACACATTCAATTAGTAACAGACTGTGGAAAGCGTGTGTAGCAGTTCCTTATCCTAACCGCTAGTATTCACTCGCTTTTTTAAGGTGCTGTCCAAGTACAGGAGCGGCAAACTCCCCAAGGCATTTAAGATTATCCCTGCTCTGTCTAACTGGGAGCAGATCCTGTACATTACAGAGCCAGAAACGTGGACAGCAGCTGCC